GAACAAGATTGAGAAAAGCTCTAGATTTCTTAATACAATACCAGATACTAAAAGACAATGTAGCAATGCCTTCGAATGATCAAATAATATTATTTTCAACATTCTTAGCTCAAGTTTCAATTAATCGTAAAGGAATGATGAAGCTATTTTCAGTCAAGCAAGACATCAAGAAATACACCTTCCATACATTCTTTCTTAGGAAGCTTAGTGAGGATGTGCTTAAACCAAGCAATGGATTGAACAAGGTATAAGTTGTGGAACAGGATGTAGCCAGAAAAGCAGCAAAGCGGGAGGAAAGAAGACTGAGAAGGAAGGTCTCTGGGAAAGTAAATTATATTGATAGTCTGACATATTTAAGCATTTGAAAGTTATCTGCCATATACTGGTATATAGATATTTGCTGGATCTCTTGGTGCATTTGGAAAAGAAGAGAAAACAAGCAAATAAAAATTATCAAGATGATTTTTAAAAAGTATTAAACTTGAAGAAAGAAAAAGAAAATGAGAAAGGAAATAATCACAGTACACTATTTGGTGTACTGTTCAGCAGTGAAAAATCATTTACATGGCCATAAAAATGGAAACATTTTGTATTAATTTTAACTACATAAAAATCTTATGATGAGAAAAAGTATGGGATAATGCTAGTGGAAAAGAACAAACTCTTCATTTTTAGGCATCATATCTTAAATTGACCAATCAAAATTGTAGTATAATCACATATCATTCAGAAATATGAAAGTAGAAGAAGAAACAGGTAAAGGGTTTAAAGTAGGTGGTGATGGGGGAACTGAAGAATAGGGAAGGGTGAGAGAGTAAGGCAGGGATTTCTGATAAATTATTTAGCATTATTTGATTTTTAAAACCATGTGCATGTATTCACCGATGTTCAGAGCAGCATTAATCAGTGGCCAGGGCATGGAAACAACTGAAGTGTCCTATGACAGATGATTGGATGAAGAAGTGGTGGTAATACATACAATCAAATATTACTCAGCCATAAGAAGAGATGAAATATTGCCATTTGCAACATGGATGGACCTCGAGATAATCTTGCTATGCAAAATAAGCCAGACAGAAAAAATTGAAAATCACATGATATCACTTCTACGTGGGATATAAACCTGAAAGCAACAAATGAACAAGACAAACAAACAGAGACTCATGGACATGGACAATAGACTAGTGGTTATCAGAGTGTAGGAGGAAGCGGAGAGGGGAGAGGTAGATGGGGCAAAGGGAATCAAATATGTGATGACAAAAAGAAATCTAACTATGGGAGGTGAACACACAGTGTAAATATATATATGCCTTACTGTTTAAGGGTATAGTTGAAACTTATTGGATTTCGTTAACCAATGTCACCATAAAAAATTAATTACTTTAAAAAAATATGTGCATGTATTATTTTGACAAAAATAACAAATTAAAAAGAAAAAGAATGCAGAAGCAGATAAAATGATACCAAAATATGCTGAATGTAATTTGAAAACCTATTTCTAAATGCTATTTCTTTCATAAATGTAGTATGTTGATTGATACTCTACACAGACTTAAGAAAGCAATTAAGTCAATCAGTAATAGTATTAGCATCATTCTCAATATCAGTTAAGAAACACAAAAGTCAAAGTGACAGACACAGTAATAGACACCTTAGCGAGTTTAAGGTTAATTGCAGTTAATCACAGTGGCAGAGAATTTTATTGTAAGACCTATTTCTATAGAAATGTAGACTCTGGAGTCATGTGCATGTATCATTTGAAGATACTAGATTCAGCTTTCTGGAAGTATTTGCAGTTTGAATTACAAAAATCTGTTCCATTTTATGGATATACCTAAACATGTGGATTAATGACCAAATGAATTCTAGACATGACTTTTCTACTTAAAACTCTTCTGATCAGTGAGTTGATAATATTTTGTATTAGCCAAAGGTAGCTATAAAACCTGCAAGGGGGGAAAGATGAAGAAACCTTAGAAGAGGAAGAAGGAAATCAGACAGGAAAGAAATTAAGAACAGATGGTCATTGGTATGGAGAAAAATTGTACCTTGATTGTCATTATTACCATACTGAGTACTAAAGAAATTACTGTTGTGTCTGTAAGCAAGGAGACATTAGGCCACCCCTCAGGAGAAAGAATATTCAAAAGACTGAAGTTCCAAAATAGTAACCATCATGGAGAGGAATAGAGTCGGATGACAAATCATTACCAGACATGGAGTTCTAATCCTGATCTAATGCCAGTTTTCTGAAATAGGAAATTAAGGTGTTATATAGAATTGATGTTATAAAGAACTACCTGATGATATTTTATGACATTCATTTTATTCTTTATATTAACTGACAAATTTTGAAATATGTCTACTGAGTTTCAGCAGTGATTAAATTTGTGTTTTTTATAGTCATAATTGAAGCACAGTGGAGTAAGACATACAATTACTGTGAACAACTAGAAAGTTTAGACTGTAGAAGAAAAGTACAGGATTATTAAAGTCATAGCTTTGAAATTGGTTCTCTATTACACACTTAGTAATGAATAACTTGGGAAGAGGAAGATGACAATTTTGTAAATGTGCAACTAACTTTTATAAAACTAAATTCTAAAGAATTTAAAAAGATTGTTTTAAAATATTTTTCAGCAATTAAAATTATTTAATATTCTTATTAGTAAGGTAGATGAATTATGTGATATTGCATTCTTTACAATTTGGATGTAACTATTGTGCAAGCAGGTTTCAGTAAAAGTCTACTTCATATTTATGTGTGTGACAAAAATCCATGTGCTTGTTGTAAATAGGTCAATATACAGGGGTGTATTTTTAAAAAGGCAAATATTCCCCCCTGCCCTATTCAATATCACTACTTGTCAGTAATCTTAATAACATATGGTGTGTCCATCACCTCATACAAACATAGTGTACTTCCATAGCATTGTTCCTTTTTTTCTCAAAGTGAGAAAATCCACTGAGCAATTTTTCAAACCTTAGCAATATTGTAGACATCTTTTCTGATCCATACGTTTAGATCACTGAAGGCTCCATAACATGGATATGTCATAGTTTTTGGACCATTCCCCTATAGCTGGACATTTATAGTATTTGTTTCCAGCGTTAAAATGAACTTCCTTTTACATATATCTTTACATATTGGCTTATTCTGTAGAATATACTCATGTAAGTGGAACTTGCCAGATTAAAAATAATGCATCTTTTTATTATTATTATTACTACTGAGTAGGTACTACGTGAGCATGATAAGAAAAATTTCAAAGAGGAAAAAAGCATATAAAAAACAATGATTTCCATTACACAGATTTTCTTTATGCTTAAATAGAAAAATTTAGAGAGTTCATCATCTAATATATATGCCAGCCCAGGAGGTTGGATTATGATCATCATTAGTTAATGTATGATTAGGTAGACTATTGACTATCACTGATAGCCAATACTCATTAAAGCTATTGATTTACAATGAGTATTGAATTAAAATGTGTGGCAGGTTCTTACTTTACTAGCATTTAAATTGATTAATCCCATTGCTTAGTAGATTTTAATCTGGAAATTGATATTTTATGGATTTCATAGTCTACCAGGTTTTCAAAGGATATGCAGACCATATAATCTGCAAATTTTCAATTTTTATTGCTGTTCTTGTATGAAATAAGACTTCAGGAATCAAGATGAAACTGGCGATAATTATTTGGCTGGTAACTAATTAGTCTCATGAAGAATGCTTAAGGAGATACTTAGAAAAAGCGATGTGAAACTCCCCCACCATCATTTTTTGAGAACGAATCACCACTAGAATTAAAGGCAGGAATTTTTTTTCTCTGATGTCCCTATTGGCTAGAGTAGTATCAGGCACATAAGGACTCAATAAATACTAGTCGATTGCATAATATTCGAATTTAACCAAGAACTCGAAGACATGGGCTTTTAAATTATGATTCCAACATTTAAATGAGAGATCTAAGCAGCATTCACTCTAAATAGTATGTATATAAAACAATTGAAATCAAGTAATGTACTGGAGGGGCAATCAGATGGAAGTTGTGCCATACTTATCAAATGTATCCTATAATGTCACCCCTATTTTACTTCCTAGTTTTAGCTTTCAAAGGGCTAAAAGCTGGTCTGATCCTAGAAGCATCTTTCCATCGTGACATATCATATTAAAGGTACATAATACAACCCAATTTACACAGGAGAAACAAACAAACAAACTTATGAGACCTAAGGGTACATACATTCAATTGGTTTACATTTAATAAAGGTTATGATGAGATTATTTAGGAAAAATAAAGACATGTCTCTGATGGTTTGGAAATATTAAACTGGAAGCAGAAATATTGACTGATTTGTTAAGGTCATACCATTTTGATTCCAGGAAAAATAGAAGCTACTTTATACAAATAGAAGTGAATAGAATTTGACAAATAGGAGTGACTAGCCCTCAAAACTATGTAACACTACTAAAAAGCAAGACAATTTTCAACTTCTATGCATTTTCTTGCCCCCAGTGGCAAATAAGAACATAGCAAATCTTTCAAAAACCTGATAAAACTTATGAGATGCAAATTATGCTTGGCTTTGATAATTGGTATTTCTAAAAGTAGAAAATTAAAATGTTCCCAATTATAAGCACTAATTTTACTTAAACATTACCTATATAACTTTTTTTGGAAAGGTCTATCTGTAACTACAATGTGAATCTAACTTGACAGAATATGTGCTTTAATATTGGGCATAAGGATGAATAATTCTACAGATATAATAGAAAAATAAAACTCAATTAGTAAAATTCTCTAGATCTTTTGGAATTATTCTGTTAATCTTTTGGAAATGTTATTCACTCATAAAAAAATGTGCTTTAAAACTTCTGAAACAAATTCTTTTCGAAATTTATTTCTAAAAGTCAGAGACAAAACTTTAAAAGTAACATTTATACTAAGAATACATGCGTGAGCAAAAAAAAAAAAAAAAGCACGGGAATACAAAAATGAACATAGCAAAATTTTAATGAATACAATATTCTGGATACAAGTGGAATACCACTAGGTAAGAACTGTATTTACCTCAAAAGTCTATGATAGTATGGATTGAGATAAACCAAAGTTTAGGTAGCCACTTCACTACTCACATTTTAATCAGTGCTGATCAAAAGCTAAAGTAATTTATTCTAGGCTAAGATTTTCAATGAAATTATAGAATGAATTATTTAATGAAGGTGATCTGTACTCATTTAAAGGCAGCTGGAGCAAGTCAAACCACGGAGAGCCCTTACAAAGACTAAGTAAGCACCAAATAATGAATTGTTTGTGGCTTTCATTTTGGGTCACCTTAAATTTTATTTTGTTTAAAATGTGTTTTCCATTAACATTAACATATAAATTCTTTCAGGCAAAGGTTTTAACATGGAGCTTTCTATGTAGAGATCCTACCAACTGTTACTTACAATAGTTTTTAAGCAATGAATACTTCAGAACAATTCCAAGCCCGTACTTAATGGGTTACAATTCTAAGATGCAGAACTTTTTCTTTAAAGTTTTCTGGTCCCTGAAAAGTAGGGCCAAATGTATTAACTGGAAGTAGCATTTGTTTGCAAAAGAAAATCTTACGCAAAGATGATAATGAATAAAATAACTATTTAGGCTCGCATATACAATCTTTCTCAATTTTCATCTGGTAAGAAATGATTACAATGTCCTTCAGGCTTAGTATACGCCCCAAAGAATCAAAAGAAACCAACAAGGAATTGAACATTTCAACAAGCTGGGAACTATTTACTGTAAGCATAGATAGAGTGAAATTCTGAAAGACACACTACCATACTTTGATAAAACACTATTAACAGGTAAGCATGTGTTGAAGGCAGTTTATAAACGAAACATTACAAATCTTTTTTATGCATACAACTTATAAAATAGAAAAAAAATTGCTATTTTCCCAATAGTATAGCATCACACTAACACTATATAGTTAAGATTGAAAGCTTCTGTACACACATCCACTACACCTCAATCGCAGCAATGCACCTCTTAGACATTCTCATTTGTTATCTAACATATGCCAACCATGGTTTTACGAGAATTGTTCGTTTGAGCAGGCTACAACAATCATTCTGCTTTATCCATTTGAGACAAAGTTAACCAGTTTCAGGAAACGAAATTTTATTATCAGTAAAGAAACATATTAAACCTACACAACAGGATGGAAAATGCTTCTAAGGACATGATATAATCCCAACTGGTGGATGGCTTATGTCCCTAGATATAGGTATGCAGGAATAGTTAGAAGCCTGGAGAAATACATTAAGACATTCGAGACCTAAATGACCAACACATCAGTAACTACTAGAAACTCAGATGTGAATTATTGTTTTTCCAGTGGAACATTATCCAATTTTACTGCTTAAGACTACTCAAAGCTGTTCTGCCACTATGTGTTTGCTGTCCGTGCAAATTAATATCCAAATAGGGAGCAGTCTGAATCACACAGAACTTTGAAAAATTAGAATGATTGTGTATCTAACTTTTTGTATTCTGAAAATAGTGCTATAAAACTCAATTTTATTATCTTCCCAGCTTCTTAGACCTTCTACCATTATAGGTAACTTAAGCATGGTTGCCTGCAAATTCTTTACTAGAGGAAGTAAAAGCAAAGCACATTTTGGTTGTTTTACTGCTGGTTTCATGTATGTGCTTTATCAATGAGAGTACTACTCCAGGCATTTATTGTGCTACTTTAACTGAACATGAGAAAAATTGGTAGTTCAAATTTTGACAAGTGATTTTGGGGGATGGGGGTGGCAGGCATATTTAAAATGAAATAACAAAATTTCTACATAAAATCTAAAATCAGATGGGCATTTGTGACCACCTGAACTAGGAACTTAAGTCTGTAAAATAAACTTATGCATGGAAAGCTGTTTCTGAAAAATATAAAATCTAACCTTGTTCTTACTCACTTTGGCTTTAAAATGAAGATGTGGTAAAATGACCTCAACGATAACTCCCATAGGACATCATTTGTCAATGTTTTGCAATAGAAATATATTTTATAAGTATTTTAACTTGAATGTTTTCAAAGAATGTAAGATTTTTTTTAAAGCTCTATTCCAAGTTTTCAGCTGTTTAGTTTTTAAAAAATACAATTTGGGTCTCCAACAAAGAGGACATAACTGGGCTAATTAAGCTACTTTGATAACCTTAAAGGATAGTGAGATTCAGATAAAGATCATTACCTGAACATGGTTGACCTTTAACAGAACTGATTATTTCCTCACCCAAACAGTTATGCAGGATACTGCCAGATATCTACTACAAAAATTTTGCCAGTATTTTTAGACAATTGTTTACCATTGTTTAAAAACCTTGTATCACCAGAGGCAAAGCACATAAAAGTGAAAGTAAACCTGTTTCTAGTCTATTTCTCCTAAACTCTTATAAAATCATATGGAAAAATTATAGAAAGTAATTTCCTTATTATCAGCCCCAAATTACTAATTTTCTGTAAAAACAGAAAACTCAATCATAAAATGTCTACCTGTTTAAATTAAAATGCCAATCCTTAAGTCTTCTAACGAGACATTAAAAAAAAAAAACTTACAAATTCAAAATACTTGAAAGCTATGGTTCAAAAACTCGTGTCTATAGTAAGAGACTAAAATCATGTCACTGCAAAATTCCCTGTGGCTTTTGGCACTGACATTAAAAGAAAGATTTTAGTCTTTTGGTCATCTGAAGCTGCTACTAAATACAATAAACCTTTAAAAAGGGGAAGAAAAGACTGAGCAACTGAAGAATAGTTAACTACATCATATACAAATAAAGTATGGTTTGATATAAAGTCTGCTAGGGATCTGAAGATACAAGAAGTTTCCCACCATCCCTTCTTTTTTGAAGAGGATCCTCTAATCAGAAATAATGCTTTTAAGTTACTGTAAGTGGTGTTGCCTGGCAGCAGCTTCAATTTCCTAGGCTAGTCTTCAATCCAAGTAATTAAGTAATCTCACAAGGAATAATCATACATGGCAATAGGGTAAAAAGGCAGGGCAGTTCTTCCATGCACAAACATTTCAGGAGAAAAACCATCCATTTTAAAGATAACCATCAGGTTTAAGGTATCCTAGCACACTCTAAACCCTAAGTTTTGCTTTACACCATTGGTGACTAAAATCAACAATAAGTTTTACGGTGGTTTTTTTTGTTTTTTGTTTTTTTTTTGCCTGCAACTATATACACATTGCAAAACTATTCTGCATCACATGATTTTAAATGAAATAAATATAAAAATGAACCACACAATCAACACATAACTTTAATACTCCACATTATTTATCTTGATCACAATGGTGGTAACCTTGTCAACAATCTTGTGAGTTGAGGAGTTGATTCTCATTCTCATATCCATCGGGCAGATATGCTCTTCTCAGCTGGTCTGACTTAGGTATGGAGCCTCCATTCTTCACATGGCGAGACAGGAAAGCACGGACTGCTGGGTGATCAGCCTTCTCAAGTGGGATATTGGCTTCCAGGCACATTTTCACAAAGTCCTGGATAACACTGACTTTCTCTGTTTGTGCAGTACTGTTGCACTGAAGGGATGCAGTTAGGGGCCTCTGCTTCTTTCTCACATTCTGCTCTTCAAATTCTGCCTTCCTCTTGGTATGAGTCTTTGACTTGAGATGGTCACTAATGGCAGACTTGCGAACATGATTGAGAACCACATTGCAAGAAGTGCAGAAGAGTTTTCCTCCATCTTCGTGCAGCTCACCTCCAAACTCAGTGACTCGATCCAGGGGAGTCACATACAAAGCAGTCTTAGAACGGTTTCGAGCAGGTGGTGCTGTCACAACAAATCTTTCCATTCTGACTTTGAATAAGGTTCTTTCAAGACAAAAGAAACAAAGTGTTATAGCAACAGTTCATTCAGGCAGCAATTAATAAAAGAAAAGTATAAACACTTTTAAGATTAAAGACTTCAGAAAAAACATCAAATTAATAAACCGTGTCCATTAAGTCTTAACTTATCTGGAATATGTAAGGGAAAGCAAAACCAGAGCAAGTTACTAGTAACAACTAGGTCCATTCCTTGATTTTGAGGAAATTCAAATATATTAGAACCATGAAAAAAGAACTTCAACTATCTTAGATGTCACTATCATTTAGGAAAACCTAATCACAGGTCAATATTTAGGGTATTATTTATATTAACTCATCCAAATCAGACATGTATTTAGGTTTTAAACAGCTTCTTTTCCTTTGCAGTTCTGGGGCAACTAATTTTAGAGACACAATTGTAGGGAATTGTAAACAAAGTTTGTTCAAATAGGTGGGCAACTAAAATGGCAGAATTTTACATGAAGATGAATATAATCTCTGACATTGCACTGAGAAAAAAGGTAAAAACTAAGACAAACCAAATGCAATTAACATCAGGAACAATGACATAAAATTTTAAAGCCAAAAAGGAAAGTTCAAAATCAGTCATTTTTTAATACATACATACCTCTATTAAGTTTTTCCAAAGGTAATGATCAAGATATGCAAAGTGCTTCTTCTAACACTTGTTTTCACTAGACTAATTTGTTAATTTTTCACTTATTAACTTGTAAGTTAGAACAAAACTAAAAACTTATTAACATAGTGCCTAGTATATGATAGATGGTCAATCACAATTTGTTGATGAAATAAGTAAATGGTTATCTTCATTATTTTCTCAAATACTTAACTCAGAATCAGCTTAATAATTTCTAAGTTTATCCTAATAACGAACTTTTATGATCATTGCCAAAGTCATGATGTTATAGGCACTGAAAACATGAGATAGTGAACAAATGTTGGTGGCAACCGTTTGTTTCTTGGGGCTATCTATGCTTTTGGGCTAAGCTCTTAAATTAACCTAGATATAAGAAATTATAATGAATTTCACAGAATTCAAGGTGGAATTCCGTTCTGTATAAATACATTAAGACATAAATTCCTAAGTGTGTTCATAAGAACTATGCTTTATAAGTATAATCAGAAATGACATTAATCTATACCAAAAAATTCATAGCGGGATAACATGCTCTCTCTCAAAAAAAATTATAAATTGCCACTGTGTTAGACATTTATAGACATCAAACTCAGAGCACTAAATATTTCACAGAAATTCTAGAAAGTATGATAAGGCTTAGGTTTTAATAGGTTTAATTCCTTTTTTTTTTTTTTCCCCATTAAAAAATCTGTTTAATGCATGGTTTTCATGCGCCACATATTGTGTTTGGCTACAGGTTTCCTGCCTCGTAAAGTAGTTAGAGTATAACCATTACACGTTTGCACTTTCAGTTAACGGTTTATATTTTATAATCCTGTAACAAATCAGTCCCAATTATGATTAATGGCTCTGAACTAGTTATGAAAAACATTAAATATTTGTGCCCAGTAATGCCTAAATCTTTCTATGGGAAACGTCTTCTGTCTTTAAATATTTTGATTTTAAACTTTAAGAAACACGTTCGTTTTTCTCTGAAGAATAATGCTCAATCACTTGTGATAATGTGAACAGCCTATAAATTCCAATGTCTTGTAACTTTCACAAGTCTGCTTGTTTTACTGCAGAAACAAATATCCACCCAGTAGAGGATGCTCTAGTTTACAGACACGAAGAACAAAACTGTTTTCAATAGAAGGTAAAGGATATTTTAAATGCAGAAGTTAAAAAGTTAAGAGCAGGAATTAGCCAACAAAAGAGAAGCAGCAAATTACTTACTAGATCAAAATAAAAGTCATCAGAAGTTTACCGGATTAGTTTCCAGTATTTTTCGTCTTGATACTTAGGAGTAAATGGTCCCCAGCGTAAGAGCAGAGAGGCATGAAATCTGGCACTTTCCGTTTGTTCAAACCAGAGACGCTTTCAAATCAGTTTTTCAACAAGTGGTGGTGGGGAAACAGTTTCTGGGCTTGCACCCTATTTTCCCTGCGGTGCCGGGAAGTCATGCCTTTACTGTAATACACGAAAAACAAATGGAAAGAAAAAATGGGGGACGGGGAAAGAAAGAAGGGTGGATGAAAAGATGAACAACGTCAACAACAGCCACCATGCAGGTGTCTTTAAAACCGCTCCCTTTAGGAAACTCCAGACCACATATCCGGATCCCAACGTTTACCCCAACACTCCTCAACTCAGTCTCTTCTCAGTAGTATGCCCCGCTTTGAATCTCCTCCACCGCCCAAGGCCCAAGGGTTGGGGGGTGGGGGAGGGAAAGGCGGGGCGCGGGACTTTCTCGCAGTCTATACGCCCTCCTCCCGCGCCGACCCTAGCACGCCAGCGCCCCACCGCCCCTGCCCCGCTAGCTGGGCAGGGCCAAGTCTCAGCTGCCTGCCCTGGG